TTACTTTAAAGTCTCTTTTAGCTTTCTTTCTTATTTTATTCTTTTCTTATTTGCAAACATATTTCTTAACTCTCTTATATAGGGTTGTTAATGGGTTGGGTTGGGTTGGGTTGGGTTAATCAAAACCTCAACCCACTCCAGTAAATTAGACTTACTCCAGTAGTTTACTCCGGGTTGCTCCATAGCTGCTCCGGGTTGCTCCAGGTTGCTCCAAATTTAAAGATATAAGTCTAAACCCACTCCAACTTGGGTTGGGTTCTACTCCGGAGTGCTCCGGAGCAAGCTACTCCATTAACAACCCTAACTGCAACATCGGAGGTCATGACCTTCCATTGCTCGGTACATATATACGTGGCAGATGAGTACAATTCAATAAAAGTGTCTTCTAAGAATGAAATGTAAATTCCTAATATGTATTTGTTGGCTTTTTAAAATTTTATATCAGGATGAATTTTATATTTTCCTTTTTTTTTAAGACAACTTCTTAAAGGCACTTTTGCTTGAACAACGTCATAAATTGAAATTGTTTATAAATTTCTGAAAGCTTTTTTCTTTATCCAATAAGATCCAAACATCTAAAACTGGTATATCTTATCATGATGAATAATAATTCTATATACAGTATGTTATTCATAATTTCTTTAATCCTGAAACAATTAGGAAAGTTCAACATTAATTAGTTTTCACTTATAAATTTGATGGTATCCGCATTGATACTGTAAAATATGTGATTTCTGGAATGTTACAGAGCTATTATTGTACATTTATGTATATACCTTAATGGCTGCTACATCTTTACTTTTTAAATACAGATACCAGATCATATTTTTGCGCGAAATTCTTTATATGATAGCATAAATGATTATTTCATTATTCCGTGATTTATGTTTTTTTTTTTAAAAAAAAAGAAATTCCAATCATTCATCATGGCACTGAACAACATTTCACCGGTTTCCCGATTGGTTTGGATTTTTAATCGAGAAACACTTTGGTATTCAAATTACGTTATTAATAAATACTCCCATGTTTAAGTTCATTTCAGCTTATTATACCTCTTTTGCTACCGAAGCTTGGATTGATACAAATGTTTATGAATTTGTTAAATATAAACTATTGGTCGTCATTATGAATTATGGGTAAGGTGAGGTAATTAATAGCGGTGTATATGTATTGAAAAAAGGTATTATTATTCAATGAATTGGGCGTTAGGGAAGAATTGATTAAAGTTGTGAATTATACAAAATTGTTAATTGATCTTAACGGATAGATCAATTAAAAAATCAAAATCATATGGGGGGGTGTCAGTAGAAACCAGGCAAATTGTTTCTAAGTAAATTTTTTTCCAACTTTAAATTAAAATATTTCAACAACTATTAAACCAAACTTAATAAAAATTTTTTTATTTTAATTCTATATAACTATAGAATTAAAATAAAAAAAATTTTATTAAGTTTAGTTTAATAGTTGTTGAGATATTTTAATTTAAAATTTTAAAAAAACTTACTAAAAATAATTTGCCTGGTTTCTACTGACACCCCCCCATATATTGTATTGCCTCAGGGTTATTGGTAAGTGCTCTTAGGACAAATTCGGAAGTATTAGTTGCATCATATGGGTATCTTTATTTCTGCTACCTCATTTCCTCAGATCCTTAACTATAATCAATATCCAAGGATTCACAATAAACCGATTTCATCCATTAATAAATAATAAAACAGCGACCAACCTCTCAAACTTTCGAACATATACCGATACGTTCAGATTAAACGTTAATGTAAATTTGGCACGTGATTCTTCTATATAAAGGAATTAAATCTTTTTTTTTTTTTAACGAGGCTTAGGGCCAAGTTTCAATACACAGCCACACAAACACAATAAATCGACATCTCAAAAACGTTATCGTATGCGCGTACGTGCGTACATCGTTCTATCCATTTTGTAATTTCACAAATGAATAATGATATTAACCATCCTTACAAGAAAATTTTTGACAATGAAGGAAAAGATGAATTTTATGAAGTAGAATACGAAACCGGTAATGGTGTTGGAACATCACAGAAAAGGTTGCCTCAAAATAAATTTAGGAGAAGTTTAACGCATGAAGAAAGTATTGACAACGACAATGAAAATGAAAAAACAAAGACGACTAATGATGCAAAAAGCAGTCTTAACT